CGAGTTGTTCCCCACCCTCCCCCTTGGGGCACGGTGGACACGAGCTGCTTGGGCTTGTGTTACGTTGGCGAGGGAAGAGGAGAAGACAGGGGGTGGCCTTTCTCTGCTCCACTTTCTCTCTTCTTTCTTCAATCAGTTTTATCCGCATGTTCTTTTCATGCCTCTCTGAATGAGCTTGTCGGTGGTCTGCTTGCGTGAAGAGGAACATGAGTCAAGCCCGCAGTCCCAGGGGTGCACAGGCGGCGCGCGCCACCGCTACAGGTGGTCATCGCCGTTCGCAATCACTCGGGGCAAATCTTTTCATTAGCGACAGCGAGGTGCCGCACGCCTTTGAACGCTACCTGCACCAGCTGCGCGAAGGCTGCGGGCAAGCGGATTGCCAGAACGTGGCGTTGTGCGCCACTGCACGAACACACATCAATCCCAACTTGGCGTACAATGAAGTTACAGCAACCGCCCTCGCGATGGAGCTGGCCCAGCGTCCCCGGTCTGTGCATGGAGAGCTTGTCTTCTATGATTGCACTTGCATTTCGTGTCCATCTCTCACCTCTCACCTCGCCATGATTTTTTTTTGTGTTCTGCACAAGGTCCTTCTTCTGCCCGGGCTCGCAACCGCCCCGAGCCGGTGTTCACGAACATGGTCGGCACGCGGTATCAGAAAGCGAGGATGATGCTAGTCTCTTTCAACGCGGCCTGGCAGCTGTTGGCTTAACCCCCATGTACAACCTCGCCGCTCGAGTATTAAGCAACACGACAGACAGCAGCGACCGTGCTGGACCTGCACACGTTTTGGCCACCGCACTTGCGCATGCGTTGGAACAGAGTACCTCGCCTACCAGCCTCTTCCCACTGCTAGACAACGTGGACGAAGCCGGAAAATGGGCTGCTCACGCGCGTCGGCGTAACCTGCTTGACTTTTTGGACCTTGGACTCCATGGCCCCATGGCCAGCCCAGATCTCGCTTTTTATTGCCTCTGCCTTGCCCTCGAGGTCTGTCTCTTTGCGCCTTTTGCACCAAAACTTTACCAGCCACTACACCCCTCTCTTGCCCTCTTGATCCACCACAGTGATCCCATGGCTTTCCACTCATTTCTTCTCGGGCTGCTTTGTGGTCGATTGTAGGTGATTAGCTGCAAAGCACAACGCAGTGCCGGCCGCCTACTGCTGTCCGATTCGATTGCCACTGACATTGGGTATGAATCTTAATCATGAAATCTCTTGTGCCACATAAACTATGTGAAACCGGACGGTCTGGTTGAGATCCACCCTTTGCATGGATATTTGCTGCTTGTTTTGCCGTGCCCAGCCAACTCCTACCAGCTCAATGCCACTTCGGGCGATGTGTTTGCAAATGTGCAGGGTATACTGGAACATGGTTCAAGCACAATTGTCGCCCCACGTCTTTAAGGCGCGCATGGCAGCATGGGTGGCGGCGCAATCGGTCCGTAAATTTTTTGCCTCTCGTGTCTCGTATCTGCTGTCTTGATTGCACAACCAGCCACGGCCTATCAAGTCTATAAATTGGCCTGGCCTCGATTTTTTTCCTTCGGTTTTGTACGATTCCGTCACACGGCTCTCATTCACCGCATGACCACATTTGGGGTTCTCAGGCCCCGGCACTAGAGGCCTTGACGTTTGCGATCCGCGTAACCGTTAATCGCCAAACCACCCACACCCTGGCGGCTGAAGTGGATGCGCTCTTACAGTTGGGACAGCACATTCGCAACCAGGTGAGCGGGCTGTTCCTCTTCCGAACATATAACTTTCTGTCCCACATCGGCCCATGCAAATCTCATCGAGCCTGAATGTTGTTGGTGGATGGTTCAACAACAGGTGCCCGCAGCCAACCTGGTGTGCGAGGCTTTTGCCCGACGCATCAACATCAAAGAAGCCTTTTATGAATACATTGCCATCATCAAACGCGACCAGCACACCTACCTCATTCCCTTTCGGTGCGTTCAAAATTGCCATGGGCCTGAGCATTTTCAAAGAGTGAAACGAGCGACTTCCCCACCGTGCCACGTGAGAGCAAGCACTTATCAGCCTCTTCCCTCGACATTTACGATAGCACGGACTTTTTACAGCACATGTTTCATTCCAGTGCCGCAAAAGCTAAAACCAGCTATCTGGCCGTATGTTTGGTCCAACAACCCTCACCGCAATGCCAGCCTCTTGTCATGACTCGGCCTTTGCGTTGTGGCTCGTGCAGAAGTTAACAACTGCATCTGCTGATCAGCTTGGCGCCCTTCCCTCATCGTCACGCTATCTCGCTGTCTCTCAGTACCCCTTTATCTTCCCAGCCTCCATCAAACGCCAACTCCTACGTTTCCAAGCGGCCTTTGAGGTTCGCAGCCTGCAAGCCGCCGTCTCTCCTTGCACAAAAAAAAAAAAAAAAAAAAAAAAAAAAAACATCACACGCCCTGGCGTTGGATCTCACGATGGCTCTTGACTATAGATGTCACGTGAATTTCAGAGGGCCTTTTACAACCACGCTCTCAGCCTTGAGCTTGACCGCGTCTATCGTTGCGCTGAAAGACAGCGTGGGTACCTAAAAGTCGGCAATGACCGCTTTTTGCTACAGTGCTCATGACAACTCATTCAAAAGTGCCGTGTGCCCTGTCTTGCCTCAAACAGGTCCCGCGCAGACGCCGCAAGAAAAAGCGTTGTCCTCACCATACCTGGTGTTGACCGTGCGTCGCGGCCATGAGACGCAGGACGTCTTTAATTGCCTGGCACGGCATCCTCAGGTGAATCCCCTCCTTGCAGAGCAGGTTGTTCTGGGCGGCGCGGCCTTAGCGCAACTCCGGGGCGCTCAAAGGCACTGCCTTCTTCTTTGGATGGTCTGTCTTTCACGTCCGCCATGCGCCGTGCGCAGATGTATCGGCGACCGCTGAAGGTCCGCTACATTAGCTCGGGAGAACAAGGGTTGGACCTTGGTACGGTGCCTCGGCCGTTCTGGCTATCACTTGATCTTGCTCACGTCCAAGAACATCGCTGGTTTTCACGACAATGAGTCTTCTTCTTTTTTTTTTTTTTTTGGTTTTTTTTTTTTTTTGTTTTGCTCTTCATACCCTCAATCTGCCTTCGTCATGCCGTGTTCACTTGGTGCGTTCACTCAGGTGGCTTGCAGAAGGAACTCCTAAAACAGGTGTGGGAGGATGTCAGCAACCCCGAACATGGCCTTTTTATTATGCACGATGATAGTCGCTTCCTGTGGTTTCAAAGTATGATGCGCCTGGTGGCATGTTGGGCTCAGCATCAAACGAGAGTATCACTCATGATGATTTTTTTTTTTTTTTTTTTTTTTTTTTTTTTTTTTTTTTTTTTTTTTTTTTTTTTGCGGGGCATGTGTACAGCGAGCCTGCCAACAGTACCGGCACGCCATTTTGAGCTATGTGGCATCTTGCTGGGCCTGGCCCTTTTCAACGGCATTATGTTAAATCTACATTTTCCGGTATCGTGCCCCCGTCTCTACTCGATGCCCCTCTTGCTTTTGTAGCTTTCAAAAATGTCGTGTGAATTTGGCTCATCTTCCGTTGAACAGGCCGTCTTCTTCTCCCTCCTCCTTGGTCATGAAACGGGCCTCGAGGACTTTGCCTCGCTGTTCCCGGTGCAAGCCCAGAGCCTGCAGATGGTATGCTGGCGCCGAAGGTTCCCGGGCGCTGATCGAACCTTTCTCACGCCCGGCTGCTTGTACCCCTGTTCATGACATGCAGCTGTTGGATTATGATGGGGATGTCAGTGAATGGACACAAACCTTTAGCATTATGCGAAAGTGAGGCATTGGCGCTTTGAGAGTGTATTGATACGCCATCACCTCTCATGCTTACACCTACCACCGCCCCGCTTGCCCTACCACGAACGCCTGTCAATCCGCAGAACGCTCGATGAGAGCTATGAGGAGGTGGACATTGTCCCAAATGGCCGAAATATCGAGGTGACTAATGCAAATCGCCAGCAGTTTGTCGACGCTATGGTGCAATACTACTTGCACGATGCCATTGAGCACGTGAGTCAAATGCATTCAACGGCATTCATAAACCCCTGTCCATCCCATACAATGGCAATGGACGGTCAATTAACTGCTCCTGTGAACGTGTTAGTGTCTCGAACCCTTTCGTCGTGGCTTTTTGGGCGTGTGCGGCTGCCCGATGCTTTATGTGCTCACTGCGGCCGAGCTGGAGTCCCTTTTGGTGGGCGCACGAACTTGGAACATTGCCGATTTGCGAGCCGGTGCTACCTACGAAGATCAATACACAGGTGCGCGTTTTCACTGTGGACACACATGCATCCAGTGTCCAAATGACCCCGCATTTCGGAGCGCGCCAGGGCCTCACATGGCTGCTGTACGCTTTGTGCCGACAGAGAATCACCCGACTATCGTGGACTTCTGGGAAGTGATCTTTGGCATGACCCAAGAGGAACAGCGCCAGTTTGTGGAGTTTGTTACTGGTGCGATTGTTTTTTGTTGCTTTTATTGCTGCCTTTTCTTCTTGATCAGAGTGTTTGCCTCATGGCAGCCGCATGACCAACGTGATGACTGCCACAGGCTCAGATCGAGAGCCAGTGGGTGGCTTGGGATCTTTGCGCCTCTGTGTCCAGCGCAACGGACCTGACTCAGATCGGTGAGTGTGACACCATGCTTGGCAGAGGTTGTGCGGGCGGTGCACCTGCCTATGGCCTAACCTACAATTATGTTTGGTCCTGGGATAGACTGCCCACATCGCTGACCTGCTTTAATCGGCTTTTGCTCCCTGAGTATGACAACATTGACAAACTTCGCAGTCGGTATGGCACCTCACCAAGCTCCATCCTGCTTGACGTGTTTAATGAGATGACATGCAGCCTGATGCGCCTGGTTTGCCCACCATTGCATTTGCCCACCATTGCATTTGCATCCGTGCAGACTCTTGACGGCGATTCAACACTCCAAGGGTTTTGGGCTAGTGTAGGGGCTCTCGATGCTTTTTGCTTGTGAGGCTTGAAAGGTCCAGGATGTAAGCAGTGCCCAATTGCGTGCTAGCGTGGTGCCAAAGTTGGTTTTGACTGCAGAGAATAAACTGCACAAGATAGCAATTGACGTAGAGATCATCAAGCGCACAACGATTGAGACTTTTGGGCTGGCCGATTTGCCACTGGTGGCTTCGGCTGATTGGTTTTTTTGTTCGTTTGTGTTTTCTTTTCGCTGCATTTCACGCATGGGAGCCTGGTTGCACGTTCGCAAGGCTCCACTTCAAGCTCAGTAGCTTATTGGAAGCGGGCAGCGCGGGCAGCCTTCTTTTCATCCGCCGCTACAAGATTTGACCGAAAACACGAGGGCACATTGAGTCGGTCCATGCAAGCAGATTTCATAACAAACGTCAAAGCCCGTTAGAACAAAGAGGCCGACATACCAATCTTGTCGGCTTCAAAGCGCTTGCGGCGCTCCAGAATCTGCTCTTGCGCCTTGATTTGCCTGCGGCCAAAGCAAGAGTGAGCACGAGGAGAAAGCAAGCAGAATGTTGTCGCTGTGGGACAGGGAACGCCGAAAAGTCTGCTTACTCAAGCAACTCGGTGTTTCCAAACTTTTCGGCGCGAGCGCGGAGAGCCTCCACCTCAGCAACCTGAACAATCCAGTGAGAGATCAGACTGATAAAAAGTTTTCAGCAAGCCCCAATGGGCAACCAATACGCACCGACAGTTTGGCCAAGTTGACCTGCCCCTTCTTGCCCTTTTTTGTTTCAGGCTACCCAACCAAACGCAAAAAGACATGAGCTGCGAGAGATGGAGGGTAAGAAAGCGTTAAATGCTCGAGGTCAGACCTGGCCATTCTTGTCAGCGGTACCAAATCGAGCCGCACGCTCAGACTTCTTGGCCTGGGTTTCTTGCTTGGTAGCCGCCTTGCCCTCGATGCCTGGCAAAGAGAGAGAGAGAGAGAGAGAGCGAGCGAGAGAGAGCGAGCGAGAGAGAGAGAGAGAGAGAGAGAGAGGGATTGTTTCCAACAGGCGAGCAATTGCAAAATAAGTGAGAGGTGGTAGGCTTTGATAGGAGCACCGTGCCATCGCCGACAAACAACCGCAAAAAGGTAGGAGGATGACGGACCAAATCGTTCAGCGCGCTTTGCCTTTTGGTCAGCGGTAGTTGCAGTTGAGATTCCGAAGCGGGCAGCGCGGGACAGACGAGCCTGCAAAGTCGATCAAAGTGAGTGTTGCCATGTGTGAGCGCATGTGCCAGGCACAAATCTGGCCCGATGGGCCCCAAGAGACACAAGCAAAGCAGCAGGCACATACATCGGCACTCATAACATCAGGCTTGTCTTTGGCCTCGTCTGTGGAATCTGCAGAGAAGTCATGAAGACGCAAATCAGAATATCGCCTCAAATTGCGTGCTGGGCCACATGACGCCTGTACTCGGACTGGAAGTACAACTTACCGTCCTCAGTCTTGGCAGGGGCTGCGGCGGGTGTCTTTTTGGGAGCGGGCGCGGGAGCTGCAGCATTAGCGCTCTACAAGGGACGAGGGAGAGAAGGATGAGGTAGAGTTGCTCAAGCAGCAAAGGAGAATGTGTATGGGCTCGCCACACTGTGAGGATCTGGGGGAGATAGGTTTGTAAGAAGCCTCTTGACTTACAGGTGCATCATCCTCCACACCCAGCAGCAGTTTCTACAATGGCATGCACAACAAGGACCGATCCAGAGGGTCAAGGGATGTATGGTGGTGGTAGCTCATCGGCACTGATTGCTCTGTCCAAAGCCCGGCATAAACCAACCTCCTCCTCTTCCTGATAGTACTGCTGCAGACGCTCAACGAGCTCGTCCTTCTTGCCTACAAAGACAGCCAGCGCGAATGAGCAACACCTCCAGGGCCAGTGGGCGTCTCAGGACTGGCGACTGAGCTTTGCTTCGCAAAAGCCAAGAGAGGCAACACGTAGCAAACGATTTTGTTCAAGTGTGCATCCTGCTTTTGTCGGTCTGCCCGCGCCCTCCTTTGCGGTGATGTATCGAGCGACGCACCCTTGTTGTCGAGGCCAGCCTGGTCAAGCTCCGCACGGAGCTCGTTGACCTTCATCTTCTTCAGCTCAGTCTCCGTCTTGATGGACGCCATGCTGCCGTGTATTCCCTGAGCCTGCAGTCTACTAATTGCAATCTGGTCCCTGAGGCGCTGATGGTGTACTGGCCCGTACAGTATCCGTGCGTCAGTGGAGCCAACAGATGCGCGCCTCAACTGCCAAATCACACAGATGATAAAACTGCCCACCGAGTGAGAGAAACAACAAAAGAAATTCGATTCAACCGCGAGGTATCCTCCAATTTTAAACTGCCGTCCTCGGAAATGTTGGCAATTTGGCAACAGCATGGGCATCCAATGGATCGGGGGTTGCGCCGTGGAAGCTCCAATGCAACAAGATCCATCGACACGCACACACACACACACACACACACACACACACACACACACACACACACAACACAACACACACACATACAATGGGCGCGCGCCGTCAAGAGGCACAGAGAAGAGACGACAGCGGTACACACGTCAATGATAATATTTTATTTTTTATAAGATGCGCAGGAATGTAAATTCCATCCCAGAGCTTCCACTCCAGGCGTTGACGGCTTGCATTTCAAGCTGCACGGTGCCCGGGTTCAATTGCCGACGCGTGCGGAAGATCAAGGTGTTCCCTACGCAGGATGGGAAGCATGGTTAGGCAGGATCCGATCACAGTGTCAAGCGCTAGCAGTACTTGTAGGCGCGCACGTACCATTGCTTGCATGACCCGAGTCGTGTGTCGTAATGACATCCGTATCCTGGCTATTGGTGTTCCCGCCGTACCACTGCATCGGCGGCGCACGTTCATCGAGCATGAGTTGATGCGATTGGATCGAAGCATCAACACTCCTCAAGGATCGGTGAGGCCACAGCGTCAACTTACGATGAAAGGAGAGGAAACGATGGCCTCTCCCCAAAATCCACCGCCAACTTGATGGGAATCAAAAGGCGTGACCTTTGCCAAGTACAGCAAATCAGTTGAATTATGCTAAAAATGGCATTCAGTATACGCATGCTGGTCGGACCTTGAACATGTAGACACCACGGTCTTCGAGAAGACCATCGGCGCCGCTTGTGATAACAGACCAGGAGCTCTGCGTTTAGTGTCCACCCGAAGCATGAGCACAACAAAGCCGACTGACACGGCCAAGGATCTAACTTGCAACCGTCTCAACCTACCCCTGAACCAAGTTGACCCCACCAAGGGATGGTCAGCGTGCGCATAAAGGCGCCGTTGAAGAGTGGCAGCTCGCCAGCAGTTGTGACGTCCATCGTCACGGCAGCCGCCATTCCAATGTAAATGTTGAATGAGACAGAGATGCCATCAGATGACGGCGACTGCAGCGGACCCAAGCAACCAGTAAGGCAGTTAAGCGCTCGTGAACTGCTTCTACTGAAACCCTGATTGCTCGAGGAATGTGGTGCCATGTCTTCAGAGGAGCATTGCTTACGGAGCGTGGACCCGTCATGACGTAGATGACATCATTGACGTTCAGCTGACCCAGGAAGACATCAAAGTCCTGGGAAAAAAAAAAGGATACCATATCAGATGCATGCCCGATGCTGCCAACGCTGCCGTCAAGGCTCGGTGTCCACAGCGTAAATACGAGAGCCACGTACATTCACATAATTTGAGCCTTCGTCAATGTCGAAGATGGCCCGGCGGAGGTTGTTGACATACACGCGAATGGCGTTACCGTCGCCCTGTGTGACAAAATGTTCCGGCTGTTTGTCAGGCAGGGAACGCCACGGATACCCCGGAGGCTACTTCAGCTTTCGAGCACACAGCAACGTTTACTCACAGCACCATCGATGGTATCTAGATGCAGGTCTGCGATGGTGTAAATGCCGGGCTCGTCCACTGTGTAAGCCACGATGGCATGGAAATCACCATCCCTGTCGTGTAATGTCAATGAGCCATCGTTCGCACCAAACCAACGAGTTCACCACAGCCGCGCCTAGGAGCCAAAGCGCCTCGATTGAAGAAAACTTACGAGTTGCCTGGATGGAAGCTGCTTTTAGCCACGTATAAGTATGGACCATCTGTAGCGCCGTTGGGAATAGCAGCACCATTGATGGTGAATGCGTTGTTAGGAGCCTTTTGCAGCGTGACGTAGTTGTCGGCGTTGCCAATCGGGCCCTAATAAATGGGAGATTTAGAAAAAAAAGAGTGAACATAACAGCCTCTCTCGAGTGCATAGCGCAAACTAACAGTGCACAAACGCTTACATGGGCGTTGTAAAGCACCGACCACTGAGTTGCTACACCATCAATGAGCTCTTGTACACCCTCTGCCATGCTCGACTTTTTGCGGCCCGTCTGCATGTCTTGCTTGATCTTCAGTACTCGCTCGCCCAACAATGTATCCACCTAAGTGGCACAACCAACACCACCACCAACACCACCAACACACACACACACACACACACACACACACACACACACACACACACACACACACACACACACACACACACACACACACACACACACACACACACACACACACACACACACACACACACACACACAGAAATAACATGGTGGTTAGCCCTGCGGGTCGCCCAACATGCTCCTCCCGAATCAGTCGCTCACAAAACCAAAACCAACCCAACGACATCAAACCACCATCCTTACCGCCGAGCTACTGTACACCGTCGATGCATCAGCCTTGACATCCAGCTTGCCATCCACCTCCGTCTTCGTATACACGCTGCCCGCATCCGCCTTGCTCCCCAGACTGGTATCCACCTCCGTCTTCGTATACACCTGTCCCCTCGTGTACACGCTGCTCACATCCGCCTTGCTCGCCAACTTGCCATCAATCTCCTCCTGCGTGTACACGTCGCCCGTGTGTGCCTTGGCCGCCAATACCGTGTCCACATACGTTCGGTTGTACACATTGTCAGTGTCCGCCTTGGCAGCGAGTTTCGTATCCAGCTCTGTTGTCGTGTAGATGCTGCTGGCGTCGGCCTTGGCAGCGAGTTTCGTATCCAGCTCTGTTGTCGTGTAGATGCTGCTGGCGTCGGCCTTGGCAGCGAACTTGGTGTCCAGCTCTGTTGTCGTGTAGATGCTGCTGGCGTCGGCCTTGGCAGCAAACTTGGTGTCCAGCTCTGTTGTCGTGTAGATGCTGCTGGTGTCGGCCTTGGCAGCGAGTTTCGTGTCCAGTTCCGTTGTCGTGTAGATGCTGCTGGTGTCGGCCTTGGCAGCGAGTTTCGTGTCCAGTTCCGTTGTCGTGTAGACGCTGCTGACGTCGGCCTTGGCAGCGAGTTTCGTATCCAGCTCCATGCTGGTATACACATCCGATTGGTTCGCCTGCATTCACGTTACAAAGAGAAATGGGAGCGTGTTGCGTTATGAAAAGCTGACCGGTGGCAAACGTCAGCTGAAGCGCAACAGCGCAACATGACTCCAAAAGATTGTGCAGTATCGATGCCAGGCACAGACTCAACCTTGAGAGTCAAGAGCTGCTCCAGCATCTCCAAACGCGCTGCAAGCGCGTTGACATCGCTCTAAAAGGCAAGCACGCGCGTGAATAGCACCAAAGGGTAATCTGTAAGCCCGCGCCCATCCATAGCTAAGTGAGGGGAAAAGGTGTATGAGCAAGCGTACCAGAAGGGCGACGGGCTGGGGCTCGCCCTCTGGTCCAAACGCCACCATCAAGTTGACGTCTTCGCTTTCCAAACTAGCAGAAAGCAAGCAGATGAGTCAACCACAACAACCCAAGGAGTGGTACGTCTGCAAGTCTCACCGAACCACAATGTGTCCCTCATACGCCTCCAACACCGGTGTCGCCTGGACCGGAACCAATCCCATCAATCCCGATCCCGTCAGCGCCAGGGCCAGAACCAGCACGGCCGCGCTGCGACATCCCCTCATCTTCATGTTTTGTTGAGAAAAACATGAAGAAGAAAATGAGATGAGCATATGCTGTAAGTAATAGAGTTATTGCAGTTTTTAGGTACTTTCAAGGTCATGTGGTTGTGTTTACCCTGGAGAACATGGTGTATGTTCAAGAGAAGATGTAGCTGTTCGGGATGTCTCGCGTTTGGATTCTTGTGTCAGCACCTCTGCTGATTTACTTGTGGTAGTTTCTCTCTCTTTCTCTTTCTCTCTCTCTCTCTCTCTCTCTCTCTCTCTCTCTCTCTCTCTCTCTCTCTCTCTCTCTCTCTCTCTCGATGGCGCGACGGTGGCGGCGAATGGGAACTGCCGTTCCACCGGCGTCGGCCAATGCTCACCCGGCGCCAGCACCGAGCTCATGGCTTGGTTCGGTGGTTGACTTTGTGGTGCGACGCCCCGTCACCTCGACGGCGCTGGCCGTGACCGGTGCCTCCGCAGCCGCGCTGTATTATTTTCAGGACACGCTGCGCGCACAGGTGCAGGAATGGCAGCAACGATCGGGTGTGTATGTGCTTTAATCAGGCATTATCGCGGGGAATAAAGCGACTGGTCTCAACCTGCCTCGTCCATGTGTAGTTCATCAAGTCTTGACACAGGTGCAGCAGGAAGGTCGAGGGCAGAAGAGCCGGACACACGCCATGGCCAAAGGTCTGGCCACAAGTTTACACCCACGCCAGCCCCGCCTCTTCCTCTGGCGCCACTCTGCCTCACGCACGTCTTGCGATCTGGACTATAGTGACACGTCTACATGCAAAGCTGCACCAGGAGCTACTTGCCGCGCTCCCGTGTGAGGATTGCAAAAGCCGGTCTGTACCGCCCCCGCCCCTGCTCCCGTGCGATTCAACAGCCCTGAGAAGCGATAGGCTCTTTGCTTATACAAGCTGCATGCATGACGTGCTGCGTGCAGTTTGCAAGCGGCAGCAGCCGAGGCACGGCCAGCCCTGGCACACCAACTTTTTATCATGACATTTGCACGCCTGCTGGCTCTTGAAGCCACTGCGGCTCTCTTCAGTCTACTGGTCCATGTGCAGACGGGCTTGATGCTGGGGATTGTGGAAGCCCCCGTCGAAGATCATTCGACGGCTTCGGTTGATCTCAACCGACTCACCGAACTTCAAGACACCGTCCTGGAGCAGATGGTAGCCGGTACGGCACGCTGTCGGTACATCGTTAAACTCATTGGAACCTGCCACGGGCATCCAAAGCAAATCAGGGTTCACCTGAAATGCCGTGCCGCGCTTCTCCGAGGTAGAATTGCCACACTTTTTCGACTCGGTGCACGATGTCGTTAAAGGGGCATTACGTGACCAGGACATTCGCCAGCGACATGACCCGGCGCAATTGCGAGCCTGGCTTCGACGCCTGCACGCCCGCTGTGCTGATATTGTGGCGCCGACGTAAGCTTCATGGGGTTTGACTCAACACTAACGACCACCTTCTGATGCATCTGCCTACCACAACCTTACCCCTTCTTGTGCTATGTCGGGGCCATGGATAAACCTTGGCCGATGGTGCGCACAGGCTTTTGGACCGTGCTGCACGGGTGGTGGAGCAAGTGTCTGAAAATCGCCTGCTCCTGGTTGTACCAGATTGTCTACAAGCACCACCCTCACGAAAGGCTTTTGGTATGCACGTTCAAGTCCTATCGGTTGCAGAGAATGCTTGATGTTTCAAATCGCCATGCCCAGCCACAGCTGATGATTGACCCATGCTGTCCCTTGACTGGCCGGGTAGGCACAATTTTGCGGCGCGGATGGCAGCACGTTAGCTCGACCATTTGCCATGCGTTGATTGAGCGTCCCGAGGTAAGCAGCCGCTGTAATCGCCTTGGCTCAGGGCATTGGTCTTCAGCGGGATGATTCACGTGTACCTTGGCCGTCACCCAGATCCCTCTTTTGAGTATCATGCCTGCTGCAGCCTCTATTGCCCTCTCTCCGCAAGACAGCGCCCATGCTGTGCGGGTAAGCTTTGGTCGAGTGCAGCTTTGTCCATGACACTGTCCAATCGTTCCGTGGCACTGTGCGTGGGTATCCTGCTGTGTTGGCTCATGCCTTCAATGCTCCAGATGGCAGCTCAGGATGAAGCCGCGCTGGCTTTGATGCAAACAGTCCGCGACAGTGTAGTCACAGCTATGGCAAGGGGCGGAGGCCTGCGAGTCGATTAAATGAAGCCGCTAGATCAGTTGTCACACCTGGAATGGATAAATTAAGCAAAGATGCACTGCCCTTTTTCAATTGTCGTGAGTGCAGTTTTTTTTAAGGCCCCGCTTCTGGCCGGCACCACCATCAAGTAAAAGTGTTTCTCAGACCCAGGACTTGAACAAAAGCAGGCAGGCAGGAGGGCAACAAGTGCAAAGGTCCACCTCAGGCGGGTCGGGCGGGCATGCGCGCCTCTACACGCGAAATATAGGTTAGAAGTTGTTCTTGTGGCACGTGTAGCTGAAACTTCAGCGCCGCGTACACGGGCATCTCGTAAGGCAAAATGTCTTCCTCATCAAGGGCCCATTTGTTGTCAATGGCCTTGAAGAGCTCTTTCAAGTACTCCTTGGTTGAGGACGGTTTATAACTGGCGTCAAACTTAAAAGAGAGAACCAAACACGCCGCAGCAATTGGCTTGCGATTTTCTTTGTCCACTAGCTCTTGCAACACCAATCGATCAAAGTGGAGGTGTGTCATGGCTATTGTCGCGACGTTTAACGCGCACTGGAAAGGTAGTCGTCACAGATGGCAAGAGGCAAAAGATTGAGACTGGTAGCGCGACCACAGGAGAAAGCCACCCCAAAACTTTTACATCACGAACCTGACTCCCGAGCTCAATGAGGTCTTGTTTGGTACGCTGAATTTTGCTGAGAGGAAGCTCGATGCTTGGAAACCTAGGGTCACAAAAGTAGAACACAATTCATGAGAATCAGAACAACTAAGAAGAGAAGTGTTCACATTGAGAAGAAGGACCATACTTCTCCTTGAATTGTGTATTCAGCTCCTTGCGAAGATCCTCGGGCTCGACATGGCAGGTGATGGACACTGAATAGGAAAGAAGGTGAAAGACTTGCTGATGCCGGCCGTGGTGCATTTCTGACGTGTCCCGCGTTCGCCGTCGATGTGTGCATAGTCAAGGGTGAGAGGAGTGTAGGGTATGCGGTGATCATGCTGCTCACGCTCGTGCATACCAGGATCGTCGAGCAAGTCTGCCATTGGGATGTCATCGACCTCATTCAGCTCGTCGCGATAAGCAAGTGTGCCCTTGTCGGTGCCATCTGCGCGTGAGGCCCGTCGTTAGGGTGCTTTTGATCCAATCACAAACGGATAAACCGCTCAGCATGAGCAAGGCCTTACCCTTGGCGGTTGGTCGAAGCGCGTGGGTAGCGGCGGTATCACGGGGGTTGTTGATATCGGTGCCGGCCTCAAGAATGAAGCGTCGCCGAGTGCGAAAGCCAACGGGACTGAGAATGGAGGAAGTGACAATGGGCCAGCCCTTGGTCGAGGAGAGATGTAACCGCGAGCCGCGTAGCGAGCCCGGAGGAAGATGCTGCAAGTCTGCGACATGCACAATCTCAGCGCGGGAGGGTTTGTTTGTGTGCCCATAGTGGTGAGAGGTTCCGTGCGTGTTGTTTGGGGCCGTGGTTGGGGAGGCTTCGACGACGTGTCGCGTATGCGCGTCATGATCACGGGTGAGGGTGATGCTGCGCAGAAAAGATTCAGCATCCCGCCACAAGCGTTGCTGGGCCAAGTAGGCGACATCCGAGCTGTGACGCTGGATGCGATTAGTAGCGCGTGGCGCACGAGAGGTTCGGCGCTTTTGAGGCATGTGTAGTGGATCGAGAGTGTCTACCTCGGCGGCATCCGTATCTGGAGCCGTATCTGACTCGAGCGCTTCAGGGGGGCCAGCCAAGGGGTTGTTTGATTCCAAAGGGGGTGAGTCGGGCGCTGGGAGGGGCACTGCGCTGGAATCTGTGGTTGCATGAGGCGGGTCACGCGAGTTGCGGCGAGGCAGCAATTTCTTGAGGTTAAGCCACCGGCGTTTGGTTGCGGTCAGCGGCGGTGCGTCGGCCGATGGTGGACTGGCATCTGACTCGGTATCAGCGGAGAGTGCCTCTGCTCTGCCGGCGTCGTGTGTCGAGCCTGGTCCGGATTGCAGCTTTGCCGATTCCACGAGCTCCAACTCGTTGGTGGATCCAGGGTCGTCACTGTGGTCACTGTGAGCGTGATGGTCCGCCAATGCTTTCCGCGCCGATATCTCCGCCGCGGTGCCTTCGGCGACAGCTGTGTCTTGTTGGTTCTCGCTCAACGGCTGGTGACTGGCCTCCTGAACATCCTCAATCGCCACCATCACCACACCTGGCGCCAAATTAGACGCCGCCATCCCACCGACCTCACCCAAAACCAGTTTGCCCAGCAGGCCCCTCTCTGAACCAAGAGCTAGACCGAGTGATGGACCAACCGATGGACCAAGAGCTAGACCAAGTGATGGACCAAGAGCTAGACCAAGAGCTAAAAGCTGGACCAACTGACGGACCAACTGACGGACCAACTGACGGACCAACTGACGGACCAACTGACGGACCAACTGACGGACCAACTGACGGACCAACTGACGGCTTGCCGGGAGAAGCAGCCAGCCTCAAGTGACCCAGAGAACCAGGTGTATCCAGATATCAAGCTAACGTTAAAACCAATGGTAAATCAGAGAAAAAGTACAGAACATCCATTGCCTTCAAGAGAGGGGAAGTAGCCCGTTGTCAGAAAAAATATGAATGTCAGACGTTTTATTCGACCGAACGTAGGGGGCGATACCGTGCCGGGGTGGTGGCAGGCATCGGGCAGGCATCGGGCAGGCATCAGGGCAGGCATCTGGCAGGCATCTGGCAGGCATCGGGCAGGCATCGGGCAGGCATCTGGCAGGCATCTGGCAGGCATCTGGCAGGCATCTGGCAGGCATCTGGCAGGCATCTGGCAGGCATCTGGCAGGCATCTGGCAGGCATCTGGCAGGCATCTGGCAGGCATCTGGCAGGCATCTGGCAGGCATCTGGCAGGCATCTGGCAGGCATCTGGCAGGCATCTGGCAGGCATCTGGCAGGCATCTGGCAGGCATCTGGCAGGCATCTGGCAGGCATCTGGCAGGCATCGGGCAGGCATCGGGCAGGCATCTGGCAGGCATCGGGCAGGCATCGGGCAGGCATCTGGCAGGCATCTGGCAGGCATCTGGCAGGCATCGGGCAGGCATCAGGGCAGTTTGTGGGGATAAGAGGTGGACAGAAAGGGGGTGGGGGTTCTTCGAGAGGATGGATGGGGGTGAAGTGATGTTATGAGTGTGGGCTTGGTTACGGAATCGGCTCGAATGGTGGCGCCAGATTCAGCGGGTGGGGTGGAGGCCGCCGCCGGGAGTACCGTCACCAGTGAGACCTTGCCAACGCTGATCGCACCTTGTCAAGAAGATCAACCGGGGGTTCTCGGCGAAGCAAGTGCTTCCGATCAAGATGTACCGCGGCCTTGGTTTGCGCGCTGGCTCGTGGATGCCCTCGTGACGCTGGTATTCAACGCCACCTTGGTGCTGTTCTTCTGGTACGCCCATCGCACAAGCCTCGTTTAGACCACATTGCGCCACAAGCACCGCAACCTTCGAGTGAGGACCCCTTGCTCACATTTGCCTTTGGCGCTCTTGGATATCATCATTGCCCAGGCGCGGAGCATGGCAGTTGCTGGATCTCTACCTTGTGCCAGAGGATGTAGAGGTGTCAGCCTGGATCTCGCTGGCGCTGGGGGTGGTCATCTTCATGCTCTGCTTCGTCTTGGCCAGCCCAACTGGCGGCCTATGTCGCCACCATCTGCGCCGCCACGCTGCTCGGGTGACATCTCCGCCGCCACCGCACGACGGCTCTGTGGTACCTAGGCTCTGGTGGTTATGGTGCGGTAGCGCTCAGCGCGATGATACTTGGGCCGGGCGCTTGCTCTTTGATTTGGCATTGTTGATCGCGGCCGTGGGGACCGTTTGCTTTTGGCGCGGCGTTTGGTACCTCCAAAACGTCTACCTTTATCCCGCGGATCCAGCGGCTTCGGCGGGTATCTCTGTCGCCGTGGGTGTGGTGGGCCTCGTTCTGCTGCGCTCGCTGCGCTCACTCCAAGCTCCGCCATTCGCCACGCTGATGGACGCCCTCCCGCCACGAGTGGAACGCCCGGTTGGGGATCAGCCCACCTTGCATCGAAACTGGGTGCTAGTGAGCGGTACTTACATGTCGCAGCGCCGCCTCGGTCGGACTGGCACACACCCGCCAACGCTTGAGTAGGGCCACGGCTTCCGCGCCCTGCTCGATCGATCGTGAGAGCCGACGAGGGTGTGGCGGTTTCACGGCTTCGGTTTGAAAGGAAAAACCTCATTCTTGACGCTTGGCCGAGCTTCTTGGAGGATGCAGGTTGCCCAAAGGTATCCGGTTGGGCGGCGCTGCGCGCTTGCCTGCCTGCCTGCCTGCCTGTCTGCATGTGATGACAAAGAAGAGCTTGAACGCTGGCAGAAGGAGGTACAATGGATTTTTTTTGATGAGGCAAACGGGATGAAATAAATGGCACAAAACACAACTTGGTTGTCTGAGTCTACTTGTTCACACAAACACGCAAAGAAGCCTGTCGTTCTTGAAGAGCCGTGGTGCGTGCATCGGGCGTTTCCATTCAGCTAGTATCAGGCGCAGCCCGCGGGCTGAATAGAGGCCTCCGTTGGCTGGATAGCCAAAGGGCAAGGTGCGCGACGCACTCTACTATGGCCAAGGTGAGGTCGATCACGAGATCTGGGATTCAAAAATGTCCTCGCCAAGATCGGGCTCCATCTTGATACGAGCGAGGCCAAAGGCAGGCATTTCAAGAGGTGCAATGCCTGGGAGGCGCTGACTGGCCTCACTAGCGGCCAGCGCCATCTGTGCGTGTTCTCGCTTCTGACGATCGCGGGCCATACTGAAGCTGTCGATGGTTTCCCATTGCAAGGGGCGGGCCGGTTCACTGGGGTTGAAAATGTTAAAATAACCAACGTCCACGCTGTTCAAGAATGGCTGTCCATGGGTGGACCGCAGGGAGCGCATGAAGAACAGGCCCACCAGGCCCACCATCAAGGACAAGACATTGGATTGAACGGGCCGATCAGGCATAATGTACAAGTCTTGTAAATCCCATAGGCCTCGCCAATAGCAGATTGTGGCAAAGCCGACGAGGACGAGCAAGAAAGTGTGGAAAATGCTTTCATGCAGGGTAGGAGGTCGAGGCGACCGGACGGGAATGTGCGACGTGGCCGGCACGCTGTTGGCAGAGTACGTAAGACCGTTGAGAAGCACAAGGGAGGCGCGCCCGTGTTCACGTCGCACGACCTGGTCCACGAAGAACAAGGTGAAGATGACCACACCGATGCCGATGGAGACCCAGGCTGAGCGCACAGGGTCGTCTGGCATCAGCTTGAGTTCCAACAGCTGCCATGCACCTCGCCTGTAATTGAGTAAAAGCCACCAAGCGCCATTCAAGAGGAACAGGACAAGAAGCATGAGCGCGCGCTTGGACGGGCCATGGAAAGGGTCAAATATGAGTATGATAGTGACAAAGATTGGATGGAGGCAGGCTCTCTTTGAAGGAGAGAGGAGGAAAGATTTGAGAAAAGAGGCAGGCTATGGATGGCGCACTGACCATGCGAAGAGGCATAGGGGACCATTGATGCAAACTGTAAGAACCCAATCCTTGAGGTGGCGGAGAAAGCGTTTGAGGTCCATCTTCTTGCCGGTGAGAGGATTCATGGAGAATGACTTGATTGGAGATGCTCCCAAGTTTGCGCAGGGTGTGCAGCACAGACTCGAGGCACTGCTCAATCGGATAACTCGGATGGGGCAAAGGCACAAACGAAGTTCTGTGATCGAGCCACAGGGCTGACAACGGGGACGGGAGGAACCGCCAGCACCGATGAAGATGGCACCGAGAAATTGCAATCACAAGAGGTGAATCCAGCACAGGACACAAGAAGCACGTTGCTGGCGCCACCTGGAGGCACAATGTCTATGTCTTCGTTTCCAGCTCTACGCCGCACTTTAAAGTCGCCCGGCGTGGCCCTCCAGAACCAGCGTGACAACCGGCAATAAGGTGGGGGGCGCACCGGCGTGCTCAAAGGCGGCGTTCACTTGGTTGACTTGGCAAAAAAAGAATTCTACAAACCAAAACGGTCCCATTCGCCAGCCAATGAGAGTCCAGCCAGAAGACAAGCCATCAACCAGCATCGGCATACCCCGACCATCACCGCGCCACCCCCTCCCACACACACACACACACACACACACACACACGCACAGATCAAGAATACCAACGCACCGGTACACACACCACCGCGCTGCTGCTGCTGCTGCTGCTAGCAGCACACGCACACACACACAGACACACACACACGATCGATGCGTTGATGTAAAAAAAAAAAAATGGTCAACTGGTTTATCTGACATTTTCCAATTTTTTTGTTGTTGTATTTGCTCGCAAGCTTAAATTGTCAGAAAAAAGAGCCCCGCTCACCGTTATTTTTTTTTTTTTTTCTTTTTTTTTTTTTTTTCGGATCTTTTTGCTCTCTCTCACATCATGCCGCCACCCCCGTCAGTGCGCCAAGCACTTGAGACAGAGGCTGCGGTAGATCGGTACGTTGTCGGGATCAGTGGGAAGGGCACGGGCGTAAAACTAGATCTGCTTGTTCTGTATGTGTGGTGGCCTGGATCGGCTCCTGATCAAATGCGGTCTTTCTGTTTGGCTGTAGACGTGCCGTCAGCTCGCGGCGTCGCCGACTCTTGGACGAGCTGGACCACGCCGCTGAGCACTCCAAGGTGGTGACGGGTGGACAAACCGGGTCAACAACCGACATGTCCACCGCACCATCTACCACATACCAGCGCCCGCATGCCTTGGGTGAGCTGGAGCAGCGCATGGACACCGTCAACGCCATGCTCGATCGCCTCCTGGTGGTCCGCAACAATGGGAGCGAACCGAGGACTGCGCGGCCACTCGCTGCACCACGCTCGCTATCACACACGAGTGGGGATTCACCCTCGCGAGGCACACTTGCGCATGACCCAGCAGCGAGCCTGCGCGATGAAAATCGCTCCCTTCGCCAACAGCTCGAGGAAGCCATCGCCGTCTTGGAAGAGACACGCACCTACCTCCACCGAGTGCGCCGGCGCGATGAACCTGCCGCTGCAGCAGAACACCAGCGCTTGACCCAAAGTGAAAACAAACTTCGCACCCTGGGCACGACCGTCCTTGCCGAGGCCGCGGCCATGCGCACGCTCTTGCACGTATGGCCATGAGACGGAACCCCAATCCTCAGTTGAACCCCCATGTCCTGCCCTGCCCAGTGTGTGTGTGTGTGTGGCTCATTTGGTCGCACATTCCAACGGTAGAGCCTTCAAGAAACCTTGCGAGAGGAAAGCATTGATCGCCCACATGCTACCACCAGCGCATCCAATCACTCTTTGAGTGATACCCGCAACCCTCACGTCCTCTACGAAGGCCCGGGCGTTGGTGAGGTGAGAAACGTTGGGCCAGTGCTGTATTTCTGCTCGCCTGATAACCTTGCAGTCGGATCTCAACCGGCCTGACCATAAGCAATCGCCCATGCCTGTGACCCGACTCGATGCGCCGCCAGGTTTTAAGCGACCTGCTGCGAGCCGTTGCACGCTTGGAGCGTCTCCTCGATGCCTCGGATGTTGGAGCCGCCCCTGCTACAGGTGTCGCTGTGCAAATTGGTTGGTTTCCCACCGCGTTCCTTGTCACCGCGCTCCTTGTTGCATGCCAAAGGGCTAGCAGCCCCCGGGCGAAGCATAACCACTGATTCATCCGACTGGATTATGCAGAAGCCACTTTGAGTGAGAATCGCCGCCTACGCTCGCAAGCCGCGGCCGCCACTGTGCTGCTGAAGCAACATCGGGAATTGCAAGACGCGCAAGCTTCCATCCGTCAAGACTATGGCACGGCCCGCGAGCGCATTCGGTGCGTAGTTGACCTTCAACGCGCTGGCAAAACTAAAGGCCTCACACCCCTGCCCGCTGCATGTGTATTTTAGTGAACTTGAACAAGCGGTGCAAGCTGCTCATCAGCAGACAGAGCAATGGCGCTCACGGGCCACAGCCCTGGAGGAAAGTGTCGATTTGCTCAAATCTGATCAACTTCGCTTTCAAACGGAGACGACCCAGGCTCTCGAGGTAAGCCCTCACTCGATCCAGCCTCGAGCCTTGTCCCTTGTCGGGTTTTGCCATAGTGGCGACCAGTGATCAGGCCCGCTCCTGACCCGTCGATCGTGCCGTGTGGTCGGATCGAATGCAGAACTCTCTGCAAGAAGCTGAGTCCTACCTCGAACGCTACGAGCACAGCGTTGGTGAAGCCAAGCACCTCCGTTCAGGTCAGCCGCACACCGATTGCCAGGTGGCCTGACCGATCAGAGCGCGTGGACCGTGTGCTTTGTCTGGTTCCTCACCTACTCACACATCTGCACCTGTAGAGCTACTTGAGGCCCGAGACAAGATGGAAGAGATGATGGAAGATTTACGGCACAACCAAGCGCAGCAGGAACACCTGCAATCCACGATTGCCGCGGCGCAAGACGACCTTCGCGATCGCGATCGAACCATCGCGTACGTATCCAGTTTGCTGATCGGGCTCACCAAACGAGCAAGACGATTCCTTCAATAATCCCCCCCTTCAGCCTCAGTTTTTTAGTTTTTTTGGCTTTTGATTCTGGCTTGCCATTCTTGGCGTTTGTCCATTTGTGTTTTTCGCTTTTGCTTTGTGGTGCGACTCATCTCAAATCTGGTCTCATATCCATCTTTGCTCACAGGCAACTCAAGCTTCAATTGGAGACGGATGGCTTTCGCCGACGAGCCCTTGAGCAGCAGCTCGAACAACAACGCCGCTTGTTTACGCACCGTTCCCCGCGGCGCAGCTCACCCGAAAGGCCGGCGCCCCATTCGCCACACGATGAGCCGCGCTTTGCTCAAGAGTACGAGCAGACAGTCCTCGACTCGCCAGGCACCTTTCATCTGCACGAGCTCGACAATGACACTTCTGCCGAGGCCATGCGGACTACGCAGACATACTCATCCTTGGCCAGCAGCTCAGCTTCGGTCCGCTCTGCCACCTTGACTTCTCTCGATGCTGAGATTAGTCAACTCAAAGCTTCCCTCTCCGCCATCACCCATACACCCACGTCCAGCTTTCCCTCGTCATAAACCCCCACCGTCACTTTGAGGAGAGAAATCACAGGGGCCCCCCACACGCCTGCTGCTAATTTATATTCTCACCTACTCAAGTCGAATGCTCGAAACGGTTCAAAGTCTTTTACTGTTTTGTGTGAAAGCAAGAAAAATCATCTTTCTCTCTTCACTTTCTTCTCAACCTTTTTTTTTTTTGCTTGCGCAGTCGTGACTTCAGAAATGGCAGCGGCAAATGATGCTCGACTCTTAGAAGTGCTGCAACGCTTAGAGCAGACACTTGGAATCAAGTCTCCGGCCGGGGGTGTTGATGTGGACACTCGATTGCTGTCCATTGTGGAAACGGGCGAAGCCTTGAGCGGCATCACACCAGACCAAGCTGCTGCACCAGATGCCACTGCTGCGCCAGATGCCACTGCTGCAGATGTCGATGCTTCAAACGTTCCTGCCCCTGCCTCAAAGTCCGACGTACCAGCCAATGAGGCAGCAACAACAGGCGATTCGCACGCTCCTGTCCCTGCTCCTGCACCTGCACCTGCATCTGCGGGCGGCGCGAAAGATAGCCCCAAAAAGTGCTGCATCGTGTCTTGATGACAGGGGTGTCATGTGTGTGGACCTCGCGCTGCCCAGAGTGCAGTGAGTCACTGTCCAATGAATCAGAAGCCTCCCGGTCCGACAGGCGCCCTTTACCAACGCCCCCAATCACTGATCGCGCAGCTTCTTGACTGCATTTCCAGCTCTTGTCATATCCGCTGAGGTTCTGTTTTACAATGGCGTGGGTCATCTCGCCCTCTCACCAAAAGCCGCTTCAACAGCACTTGCAAGGACTGAACGGAGCGGAAGGTGGAGCGAACACGTGCGATTGAGTTTGAATGTGCACGACGTGATCAGAAGGCATTTGAATTATGATGATGCATGGATTGAGTGCCAACGGCACGTGAATCAAACATAAACCACGGTTATTGGCTCTGCGGGGGTCGGTGCTGTTGAAATCAGATAACTGGTGACCAGTCGAGATCATGCAGGTGCTCGCGCATGTGCTTGGATACATCTAGATGAGTGACGTCTCTAATCGATCTTCTTGAGCTGAGCATCCTTTTTCGACGCGTCCAGATGCCAGATGTCCTCCACCAAATTGCGACCACTGAAAAACAAGCCCAAAGCATGGTGCATGAGCTTTCCCGGCCCAATAACACGCAGAGCGATTCATCGCATGATAGACACACCTGGCAACGTCCACGATGCTCCCATAGCCCAGAACGGAATGGGCCGTCAGCACGCCCGCCATCAATGCACCTATGAGGCGAGGGAAAACAAGAAGAAGAAGAAGAAGAAGAAGAAGACGGGTCAGCAAGACGAGTTCCTGCCCCAGCGGGCACGCAATCAAGATATGTCAGTCTCATGCGGATAATCATTGGGCTTGCTCACCGGTCACGCCGAGAGTCAGGACGTCCTGGCCCGTCAGGTAGAGGCCAGGGATATGGGTATCGGGACGAAGCCAATCATCCTCCTGAAAGCGCATCGGAGACGATTCCAGGCCATAGACCTCGCCGCGTTGGGATCGTAGATAGTGGTTAAAGGTCAAGGAAGTGCTCACCTGCAAGACAGGCGAGACCCAAAGAAGAAGCAAAAAGCAAGTGGTAAGAGGCCATGTTTGAAGACGCGAGGCAGGGTTGGGATGAGAAACAAAAACAACAACACCTCAAGCCGGCAAACTCACGCGCAAGAGGGTGATGTTGTCACGGCACTGAGGATAATACTTGAACAAGACCTCCAGCACCTTGTCTTGAATCATCTCCTTCTTTGCCTGTGCGCGTTGATCGATTCAAGCACAACCAGGTGAGACCGTGAACAGCGACTGGATCGCCAAAGAATGGAATTATGGTCCTGAGATGAATTGATACATCCAAGACATACGTTGTAATCATCGGGGCGGCGCTTGTGAATGGTGCCCTCCCAAGACTCCCACCATTCGTATGGGCACATGGTCAAAAGCACAGCGTTGGCCTGGTTAGGAAAGCGCTCGTTCCAGGTGGAGTCCTGCGCTCTCATGATACAGCACTCAGTTAGAGGCGGTACAAGGAAAATAAACGCACGGTACTTGGCAGCGTGCTAACCTTGGCAGAGGGGAAGCCGAGAAACACTGGGGGTTCGGCGGTCTCAGGATCGTCAAACCATTTTTGAAGCATTTCATCATAGTCCTTTTCGGGCCAGTGCCAGATGTTGCTGGTGCGCAGCTTGAGCTCATCGGGCGTGCCCTTCATGCCGACAAACACGTACACCATGCTGCACGAGACGCCCAGCTCTGTGATCTTGTCCGTGATGGACTTGGGCACGTGCTGCCAAGTCACGGTAGAGAGAGTGGGTAAGAACTGCCCACCAGACGAGCAGGTGCCTATTCGGCTCGAAACTAAGAGCAGATTGATTGACACACCTCGGGTGGCAGAAGCTTGGTGTACGTGTTGAGGACACCGCAGCCGGCCACAACAGTTCCTGCCTTGATGATATCACCGTTCTCCAAGCGCACGCCAGCACTAGTCATCGTGTCAACAGGAGATGAGGCAGAACAGATGTGCGGCTCGGAGGAATCAAAGAGTCGGGCAACTTACGCCTTGCCATCTTCGATGAGAATTTCTTCCACAGGGGCGCGAACAAGCACGCGGCCGCCCGTGCGCTCAATGACACGACCAATGCCCTTGGCAATGACGGTTGATCCGCCGCGTGGGTACCAACTGACAGCGAGAACAAGTCAAAACATACATCAGTAAAACACGGTAGCTTAATCAGAATTGGCAGTGGCATGCCAAGGTCAAAATGAAATGGAATATCCCGGTAGAGCCTACGCTCATCACCACGCACCCGCCGTTCATGTAATGGTTGGCAACAGAGGCGTGCAGAAAAAATGACTCCTCGGTGGGGGAGCGCCCATAGTCACCAAATTGAGCGGTCATGGCAGCCAAAAGCTCTGGGTTGGAAGTGAACTCCTTGGCCACCTCCATGGCTGTGCGCTGGGTGTTTTTGAAGAAGGTTTGTCCTGCAGGCAAGGTCAAGATGGTCAACAGCGTGAACATTGTTGGGCGGATGGGTTGCGCCATACACAGGCTTGGACAGACCGGTGAGTCGGTTGAGAAGGCGGGCAAGCCAGCGTGGACGGGCAATCTTGAGGCCAAAGAACAGGGACTTGTTGGAAGCCTCGATGCAGCACTCGGCCCAACGGCGAATGGTGTCGCGCTCTTCGGGAAAGTGCTTGGCAAGCGCTTCGACGTAGTTGTCAATGCCGGCTGAAAGGAAGTACGACTTGTCCCCAATGCGGAGCTCATCGTAAGCCTGGCACAGGCAGAGAAAGTTTGGTGGGAGAAGCGGGTGAGCGTCGCTGCGTGCGGGCGCGCTACGATCAGGCGCACTTGTGCAGGAGAGGGGGGAGATATCGAGTAGGCATGTTTATGGGGCAGGAGCGCGAAGCACCGGGGCAAAAGGAGCCCGACCTCTTCGATATCCCATGGCAAGCGGCCCATGCGGTCCCACTCGAGCGGCGTCTCCGTCATGAGGTCAAAGTACTTTTGGCGCTTGTGGATGTTGCCAATGTAGTGGATACCTTTGAGTGTAGGTTGCGGTGGTGCGAAGAGAAACAAGTGAAGGAGTGGTTGGAATTGATGCCTACGTCTAGGTGATGAGGACGTCTAGGTGCTGAGGCCCGCGGCGTCCAGCGTACCTGTATCAAATTCAAAGCCCTTGCTGGTAAAGGCGTGGGTGGCGCCGCCGGCAATGTGATGTTGCTCCAAGACCTGATTAAAAATAAAAGCACAAAGAGGTTAGACAACGGGCAGGTGAGCATACCTTTTCGCTCGAGGGTCAACCACAAGACGTACCAGGCAGCGTTTGCCGGCACGGGAAAGCATGGCAGCACAGCTCAAGCTACCAATGCCTGAGCCGACGAGGATCACATCAATGTCCTTGGACGGGAAGCAAGTCATAAGACAACACCAAGATCAGGCATAAACAGGGCAAGATCAGCTTGGGCAGGTGCCAACGCAAGCAACAGCAGCAAGCTGCGCGGCCATAGCTGGCTCCAGATGTGGGACTGGCGATGGCGGCCGACCGCAATAAAAGGGTGGTGCAGAGCAGAAGGAGGCAGGAGAAGTGGTAAGGGATAAAGCTACCTTGGGAACCTTTGAGCCCTTGTATTCATCGCGATGGCCCTCCTTGTGCTCAGGCATCTGCTCTGGTCGGATGAATTTGGCCGAGCTAAAAAGGACGGAGGCAGGGGCGGATGATCCACGTGGAGTGAGGTTGGCTAGCTTTCGACGTGCATGGTTGCCAACCATGGGGCTGGTGCGACGCAGACAATGCACAGGCTGGGTCTTGGTGGGCAGGCTGGCACGTGGCACGTGGAGAAGAATCACTCGTACCTGTAGCCGCGGGGGATGCAGCCATGGTGTTGCTGGTGCAGAAACCAGCGCACAGAACCAACGACAACAACCGTCACAAGTGCCACGAGCTGCCACAAGGGCAGCGCCAAGAGCAAGTCGAGCAACATGCTGCTTGTCGATGCCTGCGATGACCGTTTTGCCAAAAAAAAAAAATCGAGTCAAGGCAATGAGCGCGTGTGTGCAGATCTCAGAAGACAACCAAAAGAAAATGGCAGCACAGCGCTGGGGAGAGAGAAAGCGAGAGAGAGAGAGAGAGAGAGAGAGAGAATGTGTATGTGTGTGTGTCAGATGAGAGCGCGTGCTCTGTTGTGATCAAGCAGGGACGTGGCGCGACAACGTCCACTTCATTGAGAGCGGGGAGCTCTCAATGGACGGATCGATCTCTGCTGTCGTTGCTCGACATTTGTCGTGACACAAGCATGGCATGCGCGAAAGCGCCGCCCTGGTGAGTATGTGTGTCTGTCTGTGTGTCTGTGTCTGTGTCAGGCAGGAACAGGGAACAAGTGTGGAGCACCCAAGGGTAAGATCCTGCCTGCCCCGGTGACTGGCACAAACCAGAGTTGACCAAGTGCGCGGGAGTCAGGGAGACCGGTCACTGGTCGAATCCTCGCACCTCAAAGAGACGGGAAATGGGCGCGTGCTCGTTTGGCTTGGTTACATCCAGAGGGATGGCAGGACCAAGAGAAATGGTCAGAGATAAAGGGTGTATTGGTGCTGCTAAGAGATGGAAGGCGCTGAGCTGACGGTGTGGGTTTGAAACAGTGTAGAACTGAAGCTGGTCAGAGGTTGGAGTCTAAATGTCGCAACATTAGAGACAAAGCAGGGCTCGACAACATCGGTCAGAGAATAGTTCTCCTTGATGATGAAATTGTGCAGCTGCGACGCCGCTGCGTGCAGCACACAATGAAATGTCAGAAAGTATTTATTATGCTCACTGTGTTCGGTTAGTTGTCAGATAAAGTGGGCTGTGATGGAATTCGCATGAAGTTGTGTGTGTTTTGGTAGGAGTCTGGACAAACCCCCGCTCATCAGCGTCATCATGCACGTCTCTCAAGCACACACGATCCCATCAACATATCTCTGCATTCACCTTTTACATCTCATTATAGCAATATGCAGGTAGCACCGAATCTCTGGGAAAGCGTCATTCCCATCACAACTTCTCTTCAGTCCAGGTGTTTGCATCACCCCAGCCTAGCGCACGCCTCTCTCTCTCTCTCTCTCTCTCTCTCTCTCTCTCTCTCTCTCTCTCTCTCTCTCTCTCTCTCTCTCTCTCTCTCTCTCTCTCTCTCTCTCTCTCTGATTGCCCCCCTACTCCTCTCTGGCTCTGGTAGGGCACCCCCTCTGTCGCTGCCCGCTCCGTTCTTGTCGTCGGCGGCGGCGTCGGCGTCGTCGTCGTCGTTGGAGGTGAAGTTTCTGAGCGAAGGTGTGGTTTCATGACATGGACCCCGGCGTCCCTTGTGGTCCGTTGACACACACACATCTCCCCACATTCAGACCCACAGACACACTTTAATACGTTGAAGCTGCTGACAGAGTCCATGTCCACGCTTCTGGATTACGACGGACTTGCTCTTGGTTCGTTCCCATCAACTCCGGCACAACCGTTCTCACGCCCCTCTGAACCCTGCAACCCCTTTTGCCTGCCGCAGCCAGACAGGAAGGCCGATCCCGTTTTCAGGCGTTGTTGACCCATGGATGGAGCGCTTCTTGCTTGCCCACGGCTTCACTCACCGCCGCCGCCGCCGTTGCGTGATGACAAGCACCCTGTCCACCGAACCATGCCCCGCCCCTTACAAATAACAAGCACACACTCTCCACACACACACACGCTTGATGGGCAAACGTCGTCATCGTAGGCCACTCAACTCCCTCTGTGCATGTGTGTGTGTCTCTCT